TGTAATCAATGTGCCGACTGATGGTGAATAAGGAGTTTTAAAAGTCGTTTCAGGTAAGAAGTAAGATGTATGTAGTTGTACCCCATTAGGACACCACACACGCGATAAACACCCGGTGACACAAAGTACCACCATGCGGATGAGGTTCACCCGTGGAGAGGTCCCAGAAACCTCCTTCAGCCGTCAGGCCATAACTATGGCTATAGCGTCCTTGACAATGGTCTTGGCCTTCTGACTGTCAGCAAAACCCAGGTGGAAAGACTGGACCGAGTACAAAATGAGGCCATGAGACTACTCATACTTGGCTGCACAAACGACACCTCCTGCAACGCCATGCGTTATGTCCTGAGTTTGCCGTCGATGACTAGCAGATACAAAATGACACAGGTCACGGCGTACATGAGGGTATCGGCAGACCTTAACCACCCACTGCACAAAGCTATACACGACACAAAAGGAACGCGCCTTGGATGGCAAAGGCTGAGGATTTAATCCAGCAGGTATGTGACCTAGACGAATACACCAGCAGACATGCATGGCATCTCTAAGGTTGTCACCACACTAGAAAGGTACTGCAGGGATCAACAGAGGTAAGGGAACTAATAGATCATAGTTCAGACCCAGAAGATATCATCATCTACACAGATAGATCCGTAAAGAGCGGATCAAGGTCAGCATGGGCATACACAGCGCAAGGAATGGGGAAAACAATACAGGAGGACAACATTGACCATGAAATAGCCGCTTCTCCTAGAGCATTAGCATTTGTATCCGAGCAAACCGCCACACAGGCAGTAATCGCATCAGACTCCATGAACATGCTCCAAAAGATAGCAACAGATTGTATACGCTCTAAATGGGTAGAAAGCATTCGAAAATCACGCTAAACCTCCCTCACCTGGATCTACACACCTGGTCATGCGGGCGTAAAGGGAAATGAGCGAGCGGACCAACTGCATTAAGATATGTGGGAAGAAACATGTACAGAGCAGATATCGTCAACACTGTACGGACTAGGCTAGTAGATAATGAGGAATCCCTGACATTAACATGACTGCGTGATATTGGAGTAAAACATGGTGAAGCACGTCTATGCCATCTTCGAGATAGGAGACAATATAACCAGCTTCTCATGGGAACAATTAGTAGAAGTACTTTAGAGTGGCTTCTGCATCGGAGGACTGACTGACTGGCTTTCTACCCCACCATGACATCACACAAGCGATAAACACCCTATGACACAAAGTGCCACCATGTGGATGAGGATCACCGAGGAGAGGTCCCAGAAACCGCGTTGAGACAATTTGCCATATTGATGGCCTGCCTATATTGCGGCCCCTGGCAAAAGCTAGAGTGGGGCTTCAAATAACAAAAAATTACATCCTAAAAAGGACGTAAGAAATACATGACTGCATCGGAGGACTGAGCACACATGGGAATGCCCAATGTGCAGTGACGTCGATTGCAATAACGTAACAAATGGCTAGGCCACATTTATGACCCGGCTATATTCAAGCCTAGGGCATTGGCCAGGGTGAGGCTTCAAAATAACAAACAAAAATTGCACCCACGAGGACACGTTTTATAAAATCAGTAAGGAGTAATAGGTAAATAATAAGTAAAGGCATAGTGATGTGTTTGGTATAAGAGTTTAGCAAATCTGGGTAAGGGGAGATAACTGAAACAATTACTCAACTTATTACGTCCCTTAGTATCTTTAGGGCAAGAAAACAACATAATAAACTTGTACATCAAATAAAAGGTTGACATAATATTTAAAACATTAAAACTACATATAGGTTAAAACAAAAAAGTATGGGTAGTTCAGTGGAATTATTTCACTTGTGTTTTATTATATGTTGACCTGAACTCTCTAGTAAGCCACCTGAGAAGATACCGCAAAACAGTTTTAACTCCCCCTAAAAATGGGACGCAATATTTGTGTTATTTTAAAGCCCCATCCCAGGTGTCGGTGAGGGCCCTAATTAACTAAGGCTTTCTGGGATTTGTGCCTGGGAGATTCTCATCCGAATAGTGGCACTTTGTGTCACCAAGTGTTTATTTGCTCGTTGTACGGTTCTGGTGGGGTTGAGCATTACTCTTTCAATAAACCATGTTTAGTGTGCAGTTCAGTGTGTACACAAAATCATAAACACTGTTTAGTGTGCAGTTCAGTGTGTACACAAAATCATAAACACTGTTTAGTGTGCAGTTCAGTGTGTACACAAAATCATAAACAATGTTTAATGTGCAGTTCAGTGTGTACACAAAATCATAAACAATGTTTAATAAGCAGTTCAGTGTGTACACAAAATCATAAACAATGTTTAATGTGCAGTTCAGTGTGTACACAAAATCATAAACACTGTTTAATGTGCAGTTCAGTGTGTACACAAAATCATAAACAATGTTTAATGTGCAGTTCAGTGTGTACACAAAATCATAAACAATGTTTAATGTGCAGTTCAGTTTGTACACAAAATCATAAACAATGTTTAATGTGCAGTTCAGTGTGTACACAAAATCATAAACAATGCAACAAACACCAATCACTGACGTCTAGGGGAAATACTTAAAAACAGAAATTAATCCTTACATAAATATCTAAGTGCAAATGTCATTAACAGTTGGCAATGCGTAGCGGCACGGGGGATACTGTCGGCGGTGTGGCATAGTCGCAGAAACATGGTCCACATTTATTATATCCCTGAGACCCTGTTAGAGCATTTGTTTCGTTTTTTGGAGCCGATCCTAGTTTTACCGCTATTTGTTTCTTGGCAAAAAGTCCGCATTTTACACACAACTGAGGCCCTGTCAGACTATTTGCTTGGCCGCCATAATGCCGGAGAAGAAGTTCGGAGGAGAGCCTGTGTGGTTTTTCTAGGCAAATTTACGTCCAGTAGTTATATCACAGATAGAGAAGATTATTGATAATAACATGGAGAAGATAATTAAGAATCTCATAGATATTATAAGCAGAGGAAAGTATTGAGAGTCTCGCAAATAGAGAAAATAAGTGCAAATATCATAGACTAATAAGATTTTTTATAAATATCATAGAAGAAAAGATAACAGAGATTCTTGTACACAAAGATTATTTATAATATCTGATTCAGGATACGTCAGTTAAGTAATTTTGTGTATTCATATGGTTTTGTTTGATTTATGTATGTGCTGATGAAGGCTGTGTAGCTGCAATGTTCAGATTTTGTTTGTGTTTTTTATACTGTGGAGCTCGCTGATCTGCTTTTCATTCAGCTATATAGCTTTCCAGATTATTGAAGACAAAGCAGATTATTGAGAATATATCATAGGCAGAGAACGAACGAATGAACGAACGAACAAACTTTATTTTCAAAGGGTCACAAATTGGGCACACAGGCCTGTCTTACATTCGGCCCTTCCAAACACCCGTCTTTCACCCTGCAGCTGCATTTTATCAAAAAGCATGTTATATTAATATGATAACTTTTTTGATAATTTTCTCCAAAAAAAAAGAGATGATTACTGAGAATATCACAGACATAGAAGAATACTGAGAATACTGTGGACAAACAAGAAAACAGTGATGTGTTGAGTGCTGCAGATGTGACAAGATAACTCATCAAAACCCTACTGAAGAGTTAAATGAATTTTTGTAGACAAATAAACAGACGAGACAGAACAGGAAATATAAGCTTATGCGGGAGAAATACTAGGCAACAGAGACACATGAAAACCAAAAAATATATGGAAAGCTTAAAAGAGTGAGGAGCAAGTAATAATATTCTGCTCCTTCTTCTTAAAGTCCATGCCGTGTACCATCTGCAAAGGTGGCTGGTGTAATAGGACGACATAGCCCATCACAAACATTGGTTGATCTAATAACAGATGCAGCTAAAACAATGTAACAAAAATGCAGTGAGACATGGGGAATAAAAGAGGTTTACTTATGTATATAAAGTTAATGTCTGTCGATACAGCTAAGACATTATAACGATATTTTTCTGTGAATCAATCTCTCAGTCTGTTATCATCGTCTGTCAAATGTCTTTTGTTTCAGCGTGATGTCTAGAACAGCTTTCGGGGTACAACCTGTGTGTCAGGTGCTAGAAGCAGGTGTTCCTTGTTTCAGTTACTTCAGTAATCTATCACCGATTAAATATTAGCCTTTTGAGATTTAGAGTGAAACTATTTCAGCAGAGCATCACCTCTGAAATCTTTAGGTTCCACTCTAGGGTTATCAGTAGTCCATTAGTTTTAGAATTTGTCTCTTCTACTGGAGTACTCTGTTTGTCTTTCCCTTTTTTTTTTTTTTCTTCAAAGTATCCTACCTTGAGGATTGCAGCCTGTAGGAAAGACACTTTTAGGATTAGAATCAAACAGCAACAGATCCCGGAAACCCTGTTCAACTGTACAGCCATACAGCACAGCTATATTGGGGGCACCACAAAAACATGAAAGTTATGAAGTGACCTGTAGTCCATTTTCGGTAAGTGTATGCTAGCAATCCGTCAGTTGTGGATTCTGACTATTAAGTATTCTCCTGTATCTATTTCATTATTGTACCATTTATTGCCATGAATTTCGATCAGTAACTGAATGTAAACATCTGTAGTTGGAAGTAATCTTGCTACGTGATCAAGCTTCTGCCTTCATTCTTTCTGTCTAGAAGGATATATACTACTGACTGGAAACAACAATACAACTTCCCTCGAAGTCAGAGTACATCTGCCTGTGAGGCAGGGAACAGCAAAAGCTAGTAAAACGGTTGTACATGCAAAACTCAGGTCCAGGTAAAAGCAAAAAGTCCAAGCGATTAACCAGAACCTTTCGCTGGAATTCACATCCGGTGAACGAAGAAGAAGAAGAAGAAACATTACAACATCTGACATTGTCAACAGAGTCTCTTCAAAAATATACTGCACACACACAGGTTGTAGTTAATCAGAAGCCTTCTCATACAAACAAAAGCCTGCTATCCAGTAGCCACACATGAGTCCACAGATAATCTGCCATATTTAGGTCAAGATTGTTGATTCCAGGAACTTCGGGGAAGAAAGCAACAAAATATTAATTTAACAATTAACAGACTTATAAACGTTGAGAATGACAATAAATAGAAAAAACAAACCAGTAAATAATTAGTAAATAGAGTTTTCTTAGAGCGCAGCTGGAGATGATTTTTTTTTTAATTCATACATATTTACCTTTCTCTCTCTCTCTCTCGTGTGTGTGTGTGTGTGTGTGTGTGTGCACGCGTGCGTGCGTGGATGTATGCGTGCATGCATGCCTGGGTGTGTGTGTGAGTGCGTGCATGTGTGCGCGCGTGCATACAGTGGAGTGTGTGTGTGCATTCATATGGGATGAATATCATGGATCATGGATGGAATCCAGTCTAGCATCCATGATACTGAACAGACTACACAGGATAGAATGGAATGGGGGAACAGACTGCACAGGATAGAATGGAATGGGGGAACAGACTGCACAGGATAGAATGGAATGGGGGAACAGACTGCACAGGATAGAACGGAATAGAGGAACAGACTGCACAGGATAGAATGGAATAGAAGAACAGACTGCACAGGATAGAATGGAATAGAGGAACAGACTGCACAGGATAGAATGGAATAGAGGAACAGACTGCACAGGATAGAACGGAATAGAGGAACAGACTGCACAGGATAGAATGGAATAGAGGAACAGACTGCACAGGATAGAATGGAATGGGGGAACATACTGCACAGGATAGAACAGAATAGAGGAACAAACTGCACAGGATAGAACAGAATAGAGGAACAGACTGCACATGATAGAACAGAATAGAGGAACAGACTGCACAGGATAGAACAGAATCGAGGAACAGACTGCACAGGATAGAACAGAATAGAGGAACAGACTGCACAGGATAGAACAGAATAGAGGAACAGACTGCACAGGATAGAACAGAATAGAGGAACAGACTGCACAGGATAGAACAGAATAGAGGAACAGACTGTGAACCCTATGTGGCATATAATAACACAAAAGGATAATGAATGCATATGGGACCAAACAATAAGATAATGAATGAATAAGGGATCACACCTGGTGAAATGAAGTCAATTATGTCCCTTATAAACATTCTTCAAGTGTCTTTAGCAAATTCAAAATGTGTCAGAAATAATTCTACGACCAGTATGATGGCTGGCAGGAAGCAGAAATGATCCTCACAATTATGGTCGAAGCTAACTGAGGCACACATGACATAATGCTAATAATGAAACTGAACTGAGATACGGATGACAATATATTTCAAATGGAGGCTGAGGTAAGGCACAGATGCTGCTATGATCAAAACCTATGAGTCAAACATGACCCAGTGATCTTCTTCTTCTTCTTCTTCTTCTTCTTCTTCTAAGCATTGATCAGCTGTAAACTGCAGCATAAAGTTCTGGTTGTTTGCCTAGTCATGGACTTTGGTCTTGATCCAGAAAATGAGTTCTGCATGCAGATCTTTTTTACAGGTATGGTTTTTTTAAATGCAGATTGTTGGTTCCTTGCCTCTCAGACAGGAGAAGGAAAGACCCCCTAATTTGTCACCTCCTACAACATGCTTTTTTTTGGGGGGAGGGGGCACTAGATCTATACTTTGTTTTCAAAAATGGAGCCCAAGACCCCACTAGGCAATATGCCAGTTAAGGCTGTGGGGAGCAGAGGGGGAGGGGGTAGCGATGATGAGAGCTGTAATAACAAATACACTTTTCCTCCATTCAAAAGTAGTCTGAATTCTTTCAGCCCAACAAGGTCCTATTTAATATCAAAGGGAGTTAGGAATTACTACGTCCAAAGGGACCCAATATACAATCCTTTCAGGAAACAAGCATGTTTTCAGAGTCCCTCACTAAAAATACATAACAAGTTAACTAGTGCAAGTCAATAATGCCCAATCACGCTAAGTGTGTTGTCTGGGACAGGGAGAGTAAAGTCATGTCACATTTTACCTCATTTCTGGTGAATTCTGCAGATTCTCTCTGACCCGGCCTTGACCTCAGCTGCTCTTGGAAAGTAGCTGAAAATGTAGGCAGGAAGAATCAGCAGCATTAGTTTTCACAAAGTGAGTAAAAGTAAAGGATTCTTTTTCACACCTTCATGCACACTGGGCATATAGGGCTAGATCTATATTTTATAGACGAATTGGCACTCGGTGGGTCATGTGATCAGCATCACGCCGGCCACCTATTTGTCCCAGGACTTTACATGGAACCTATTTAAAGCTTGGTCAACCCAAGAGCCATGGTCACTTTTTTAAGACAAAATGTCTAGAAGAACCCACATGCCTTTCAGAGGGCAGTGAGTCTGATCTGTTTCCCTCCAAAATGGAACCCTGCAACTCATACAGGGACAATGTGCAATGAAATTCTTCCTTCAGAAAACCAAATTACAAAAACAAAGCAACAAAACAAAGCAAACATCAAAAACAGCTTTCAGTCCGAAGCTTTTGTAGTAGATTTCTAAGCAAAACACAACAACAAAAATGGCTTAGAAAAATTGTGAATGCATTAATCACTAAGTCTAAATGCTTAGTTGATCGTAAACGTTGGAGAAGCCAGATTTCTTTTCTCAGATTTATCTGACCAAATTTAAGAGAATACATCATAAGATATTTGGGACTGAAGTGGAAGAGCAGACCACACACGGCTCTGCCTGAGACTGAGCAACTGAAAGACACTATAATCAACGATTAGTGAACTAACTCTTGCAGGGTCTTCTTTTTACAAAAAATATAAATAATAATATGCCAGTTCTGTCCACCTTCCATTCCCCCATGTGACCAAGTAGCAAAGCCATATCAGCAACAAGTACCATACCACTAGTAATGATGATGATAGTTAAACCATACCAAAAGTCTCAGATTAGGTTTGTGTATGTGCTTCGTATAAGCCATGTAGCCAAGTTAAGGCATTTGTTTTTGTCTGTTTCTTGCTCTTTTCCCCATCAAGTTTTACAGTTCATTTCTCCACATAACATGTCCATTAACAAATCTTGAGTGTCCACATCTTAATTCTTTAATGAAATATGTTTGTCAAATTATGAAACGCTAGACATAAATAAATAAGTTAGTTTGCCATTTCTTTCCTCTCTGGCAGTGACTATACTGGTTGATTGCAACCATTTACTACAGAAAGATTTTTTCCTGCCATTGGAAACTTGAGTCCATGATGAATATATGTCAGTTGCTCTCAAGCTGAATCAACTATCTATCTGACTCAATAAACACTCACATAAATTAGGTATGAGCCAAACAGCTCTCTGCCGATGCCTTCGTGCTGAACAGACTCCAGAACATGTCCTGCAAGACTGTCCTCTCCTGGCGGAGCTGCGGAGCGACATATGGCAACACCCAGTAGAACTGACAACTAAGCTTTGGGGAAACCTAAGAGACCTTGAAAAGACATCCCAGTTTATGACCCACAGTGGATTATGCGCATGACCAGAGATCGCTGAAGAAGAAGAAGAAGAATCAACTATCTGCTCAATGATTTGGAGAAACCCTGTTTGAAAGATTGAGCAGGAACTCCACTTGTCTGCAAGTGTCCTGAAGATTAGTGGAGGAAAGAAGATGCTTTTCTTCTCTGTTGATATTTAATATAGCCACAGAATAAAGATGATCTGTCTGAAAACTCTACTACCAACCACTTACAAAATAGGAACGTCAGTTTGCAGATGACCAAGATAAAGTCTGGAAGGCTGATCTGACCGTTTCTTCCACCATAACACCTCACAATAGAGATTAAGAGACTTTGGTTTACTTGAAATCCTGCAAAGAAAAGAACAGAAAAGTTGAAACAGCATATTAAACAAATTAAATAATAGATACATTTTGTGTCCATTGACTTCCTACATGGTTTCTCAGTTTTAATTTTCTCTTAAGGGTTTTAGAAGATATTGAACAATGAGGGAGAAACACAGGCAGACATTTAATCAGTTTTCAAATGGTTCTATTACTTATCATCTCTTTGTTGGGTTCTAAGGAAAGAGACGGAGCATGTATGGGAATGTCCCAAGTGCAAAGATGTCAATTCTTGATTCATTTGTTCATTTAATTCTCTCTTGAAAGACACTGGATTTTGATAGTCTCTGTATGACATTAATTTACTATTAAAAATTTAAAGGTTAATTATTACTCTGATTTTGAAAACATCACCAATCTCATAAATGGTAACAAACAGTATATTTAAAAATGTAAAACCAAGGCCTAATGAAACAAATAAATTCAGCAAAAGCCAGCTCTGCATGTGGGGACCGGTCCACCATTTAGTTAAAAAAGGGGGATGGGGGAATGGAGAACAGGCCCAACGACCATGTCGTAAGAGTCGACCCATGGGTTTCCGTAGACGTCAGAGTGCATCTGCCTGCAAGGCAAGGAACCATCAGTCTGCATACAAATAAGCAAGATCTGTAAAATGGATGTGCATGCAACATTCAAGCTGTGGAATAAAACTACTGAATTCCAGAAGTGGACAATCAACCAGAACTTTCTGCTGGAGTTTACAGCTGGTGAATGCAAACAAGAAGATGATGGAGAAAATAACTGTGTATGAATGCTTGGAAAATTTGATCTCTGAATACTGGCCAACTGGGTATTCACAGTTTTAGAATTAACATAATAAGACTAAAGGCCCATTCATGATGCCCTATTGCAGGACTATTCAACTGGTGGCTTGCGGACCGAATCCAGCCTGAAGAGACCTATCAAGTGGCCTGCAAATCACTGCTAACTCTATTGTATTAATGGACTTTCTACACTGGGGCTAGGACCTCTAGCCTGTGATGGTCCCCATTTTCAACATGTTGGTCCCTGAGTAAACTTAGTTGAATAGCCCTGCCCTATTGGTTTGCATATTTCTAGAAGTGGTGCTATACTGTGCTATGGAAAGGGGGGGGAGGTTATGATTCACAACCCATGACGATGACAAGTGTAACTAGCCCAACCCACCTGCATTAACCCTTTCGCTGCTACGTTCCCGGAAATAGTTGTCCTCCCTGTGCTAAGCAATGTGAAAAAAAAAGTCTCTGCTGTGCGCAATACTTTTCTATCCTCTAAACGCAAAAGATGCGTCCGCGGTGAGGGCTATGTTTTGTACACCTAAAAAATTTTACCCTGGGGAGTTGTGTGGTTGGTCCGAGTGGTGACAAGTCAGAGGCACGATGGTGGCCCACAAACTTGACTAACGGAGCTATCATCCTTCGGGGGGGGGGGGGGGGGGGGGGGGGGGGGGGAATTAATGGGAGGAACTGTTCCCAGTCTGTATCCCAAAATTTGATTGACGAACCTACCACGGCTGCCACTTTAATCATATTTACTTATAGTCACCATGTTATTACATACCAAAATAATAATTAAAAAAAATAATCATAATAATACTCAAGTCGTCCGTTGCTGAAAAGTAACAGGAACTCAAAGGAAAATTTACAATTAATTTGAAAAAAAAAAAAAAAAAAACTTCGGGGGTTGAACACACGACCCTCCGATTCTAAGGCGAACGTGATACCAATTACACTATGCAACCGCTTGACGCATTGCGCTGTGTAAATGATCATAATGAATGATGTGCGCAGACTATCAATAATGTGTCTAAGCTTGTAGTCTATCGCCGCCTGCATGAGCACTGTTGTCTAAGAAATGTTTGAGATTCTCAACAATAGTAAAAATATGTCCCTCGACATTATTTTACGGGAGTTTTTAGCAAACAGTCTTTGCTCAAGTACTCTATTTTGAGTTTCTTTGTTCTAAGCATTAGCAGACAGACAGAAAAAAAAAAATTAGTTCGTCCGAATCTGTGTCTGTCCATCGGGAAAGACGAGAAATTTTAGTGACTTAACTGTTTGAATTTACAGTAGCAGAAATATAGATAGAGCTGGAGTCATTAAAATCATGCACTACTGGTTTCAAATCATCGGTTCATCAAGACAACTGATCAATTTATTGCCGTTTTGATGCCGCTTCATTGTCACTGCTCTCTGATTCCGACATGAGGACGTCGGACAGGCAAACAGCTTTTTTTGGACACGCCGGTTTCAGCAGTCGATACTGATTGCCTAGTCAAATCTTCTTGTTCACTGTCAGAAGTACACATTTCAAAGTCATCGTCGCTATCACTTTTGACAGAAACTCCATCAATTCTTCATCAACTTTAACAAGTTTTCTTGCCATTTTGTACTAAGTGTAGAATAATCTAAAAGCACAAATATATATCAGGGCACAAAATACACAGATCACCGACCACGCTGTCACGGTAAACAAAGCAACGGGATAACGCAAAATGCAGTAAACACACCTTAAACACGCCTAAAAGTACGTGCAAGTGCTTTTAATCATATGTAAATGGGTCAGTTTTATCTAAATTTAGCTAATGTATATTGCCCTTCAGTCAATAAAATACGAGGTAACAGAAATCTGTAAGAAAAGTCCAAAAACGGCTTAGGACGTCCATAGCACTGGGGGTCAAGAAAAAAAATAACGTCCAAAGACGGGCGTAGCAGCGTACGGGAAATCGGGAAAAGACGTCCATAGCAGCGAAAGGGTTAAGAGAAGTCTTCCACAATTAAGATTGTGTCCTTGTTAGTAGCAGCCATTAAAGTACACAAGCTGTGACAGAACAAGGCCTTACTGGCCAGAGCTGCCCAGACTGAGGCGGACTGTAGCTACCAGTGACACTGCAAAATGTCTCCCACTGTGGCACCCTTATCTACACCAAGTGAAAGGATATATAGATAACTGTTGCCTCTCGATTTTGTTCCAAAACCAATCAAGGCCAGGAATGAAGTTCTTCCTCTCAATAGCACAAAGCCACAGCAGTTTTATAGAGAGAATTTGTTTCCCATTCATAGGATCACTCTTTTAGCCTGCCTTTTTACTCCCAAGGAAAGGTGACACCAATAGCTTTGGAACATGGCATGCTGCAGAAGCTGCCAGATCAGAAGAGCAGTATTGTCTCTTCACCTATCACGGCTTTCCTCCTGGACCAGCTGCCAAGCACAGCTAAATGACTGGTTTGTCTTGCTAAAACATTCATCTTTCAGTTGCATTTCCTGTTTCCAGAATAAGTTACTTGTTTGAATATCTCTCTGTTTATTGTGATGTTCAGTGTTGGTTGCTCTTTTCCATAGTTTTTGTTTTACAAATGTTAATGTCTAAACTACACTCTGCACTCCACCTGCTGACTTGTTCACTAGCTTTTGCAACTCCTGCTCACTTTCTGTAAGAAACACTGTGACATCAGCATATCTTATATTGTTTATTACTCTTCCAATGATATTCAGTCCAGGTAATCCTTCAACTTATTTAAAAAGTTAATCGTAGTTCCAGCCTTACAGCAAACAGGTCACCATACAGTTGCTCCATTGCTGAGCTAAAGAAAACCACATGGAATGTCCATCACTGTCTCTTGATACAGACACAGACTGCAGTCTCAACAAAGCAAATAGGATACACATGGATTAAACATATAAGACAACAGTCAGAAGAGCCAACACACACAAAACACATCAATATTTGACATGAGATAAAGCCAGTTTAGTGAGAAGGAGATATTTGTTATAATGCATATTTTATCTAGGGGACAGAAATACTGAAATGACACAGATATATATGTGTGTGTGTATGTGTGTGTGTATGTGTGTGTGTATGTGTGTGCAATGAAGAGATAAAAACCATGTTTACCTAGCTTCACAAACAGAGTACCCAGCTCCTGTGCATCCACAAAATGTGACCTGTTAACATCAAGCTGCTTGAAGACAGTCTGAATAAAGAAAACACAAACAACTTTGACTGTGAAACAGATAGCTAACAATTATAATGTTGACTATATAATAATAAAAATACTTTATTTTGCTCCACCCCCATTGCCAAAACATGTTTCTAAAAATATCCTTATCAATGTTTCAGCTGTTGGAAAGAAAAATGGTGTTGTCAGCGTAAGCACACAGTTTCTGTTCACCCTTCCCTGGTACCAATGTTCCTCTGATATTGACGCCTTTTCGTATCTTTTCTAGAAGTGGTTCTATAATGATAAAGTACAGAAAGAGGGACATCTCTGTGTCGCTGATCTTGTTATTTTTAAATCTTTTAACTAATCTTGGTTTTCTAGTTCCAGAAAGAGTATGTAAACACATGTCCAGAAGTAGCTGCGCAAGTTGCAGTATTTGAGAGCTTTGTGAAGGGATGAATGGGATATTGTGTCGAATGCTTTTTCCTGGTCTAGTGACAGAAATGAAGACTGGACGGTTTCTTTATGCGTATAGATGATAAGATCCCTTATAAAATGTATATGTTGATGGATGTTGTGATTTTGTACACTGCACTTCTGATCTTTGTTTATGAGTATGGCCATCATTGGTTTTAATTTCTTTGTTAAGCTTTTGTTAAAATGTTGTAATCTGTGTTTAAAAATTATAACTGGCTTATAATTTTTGAGATGTGCTTTGTCGGTGTGATCTTTTTGGGATGGGATTAATTATGACATTTAAGACTGCGTGAGTGTTTGTTTGTGAAAGGACTCAGACAGAGTGTACCAGTCAAGGCCAGGTCAGTATTGAAATAAACCCAACAGAGCCTATTGTCAATTTGAATACAAAACCACTTCAAACAACTTCGTGACAATAAAGATGAAGAATCATCATCATCATCATTACACGCGCCCGCACATGCACACACACACACATGCACGCGCACACACACACACACACAGACTAATAAAAAACACTTTGACATGACAATCATATCAAAATTTAAATAAACAAAGCCCCGCCTATTCACGATTTCATTAAACACACAAAAATCCCCTTGGGCACTTTTATGGTACTTACTTTTCAAAGAAAATATAAACTTTCACTGAGTGAAGAGCATAGTTTACAATATATTGATCTACATTAACAAAAGCAATAATAATAATAAAGAAATTTTAAAAAGGATGATGATTGGTACCTTCGTTTCACCGACATCTGGAAGAGAGTAGAACAAAAGGGAAGATAGAAAAGGATAGAGGTGAGGAAAGGCCATTCATAATTTTTGTTGGTGTTGTAGGTATCCGGACAAATTCAGCTACTGATGATGGCATCAATGATATTTGTTGAATCATATATAAACTTTATATTTACGCAGTAAATTTACAGACTTTAGAATAATTAAAGATGATGGTGACACACAGGAGGAGAAACGAAGGATAAAAAGGACCGGAGAGGAAAGGTGGACCACAATTCATTTTTTTTGGGGGGGGGGGGGGGGGGGGGGGGGGGGGGGGGGGTTATTTTTTGGCTTGTCCAAACTTTTATTTGGATTCAAAATTAATTGACATATTTTAAAATCGCATGAGTAAACGACAGACAAAAGCATATATTTACAGGGCATGTATGTATGCAGCACATTCATTTCTCCTCTCTCCGACTGTGTCACTCGTTTCTTTGCCCCTAAAATCATTCTTTTTTTTTTTTAATCACTTTTCCACCTTTTAAAAGTAAAAAAAAAAAAAAAATTGCCCGTACTCTGCGTTTATTGTTTATACAAGGGATCAACATCATGACACAAGGGTGGTAACCCACAAGTGCTCTGTTCTAACTCAAGCCTGAGACCGAAGAATCTCAGTGCACGAACTCTATATTTTCTGACTCACAATTTTTCAAATTTTTTTTTTTTTTTTTTTTGGTTAAATATTTCTTAGAACTATTTTTACATTGCCTCCTTTTGTGGCAGCAGGTTTTTCCCTCTGGGCGGAAGGCCTCGAAGATCTTTCCAGCTCTGAAGGGTCAACAGGCCTTATGTTTTAGGGAAGGACAGTTGAAGCCTCTTGGGTTTTCGCGGATCCATGTCAATCCCAGTGCACTTCAAGTGCACGCCGCACCGTCCGCTGCCTTGCAGGTGCCCGGAACAGCTCTGACGATGTCAAGGCATCATTTTCAAGAAACCGGCAAAGCAGCAATGTGTCAATTCCCTTGTCACACCTACCAATGCCCTTACCCCCCTGCAGGACTCGGATTTTTAAAAAAAAAATGTTTTTTACAACCCAGCAATTTGATTTTAATCACAAAATATTTAAATAAAATGAATTTTTTTTAAAGGGCGATAACTCGGACCTGAGCTTTTTCCTTTAGGTTTTAAGTGATTATATCCCTTAGAAATTTGTGCAAATTTATATAAAAATTTGAAAACATCTATAGCTATTTATTCTTCATGTCGCTGTTGATACATAAGGCACTGACAAGAGATCTTCATTGATGCAGCTCTGCTGCTGTTCTGCCTATCCCATGTCATGAGCAGAGCCAAGACCAGATCTAAGAATGCTAATCATGCCAGATGCCAAATCGTGATCTACAAAGATTATCATTCGGTTGCTGATGATGGCAGTGGCAGATAAAACAGGACCAAATTAACAAATTAACTGCACTTCATAATACCTACCCTGTATCCTTTAATTTGTGTCCAAGCTTGTTTGGCTTCATCCAGATTTAAAAATCCAGACTTTTGTTTCTGCATATCAGTTAAAATGTAATAAGGCATAGCCTGTTATGCAGTGAATGCAACAAAGAATGAGTAGAAGAAGAGGAAAACAAAGAAGACTAAGCTGAAGTGACATCAAGTCTAGGGGAGACATATGACCATCTCAAGCCTTATCCTAGTCAGGATTGGTCATCATCATCATCATCATCATCATCTTCTACTTCTGCTGTTAAGTATCGTAGTAAGGAGAGGTTTACAATCCATTGCATTTTTGGCAGCAATAGCTATTTTTATTCCATGTCGATGAAGAAGCTCTTTAATGTTATCAATGCATTTTCTCCTAGGGTAACCTCTTACTTTTCACACTAGATTATGTATGTGTAGCGCCTGCATAGTTCTGGCTGCATTCTCACCAGATGACTAAACCATCTCATCTGTTTCTCAATGTATTTGCTGCACTGTGTTGTTCCCATAGTCTGATAATATTATTTCTAACTTTGTCTCGGATGTTTAAGTTGGTGGCTTTTTTCAGGCAGCTCATTTCACAGGTGTTAATTTTACATAGGTTAGCTTCTGATAATGTCCAAGTCTGGCAATGGTAGCCCAGAGTTGGTGTGAAGATGCTGTTTATCATACATTTCTTGGAGCCCATACTTATGATTAGTGTTCTTAATAATCTTAATAACGGTGTAAGTTGGTATAGAAGTACACTGGCTCGTTGGCATCTTGCTTCCATTTCCTGATCTATTGCCCTGTCCTCCAAGTATATAATTCCTAGATATTTAAGCCAGGCTATGTTAGGTGCTGAATCATGACCTGCTTACATTCTGCAATGTTTCTCCGCAGAGAAGTTTGTAGCACACACTGCTGGTTTTTGGGCTTAGAGAAGAACTCTGCAAAAGTGTTTGTAAAGATGGTAATTTGGTACAGGGTAGAGAGAAAGCTGGCTAAACCAACATCTCACTAACAGACGCCAGCCCTCTTGAGGAATCAGATAACCTAAACAGCAATGCATTAGACCTCAAATGAAGAGACATCTCAGGAGTATGAATCTGATGTATACTTGCACTGCCGACTATTACAGATAAGTTCTCAGTGTTGCAATGAAAGTCATATTTCAGAGTAGCCGCAGACAAGAAACACCTACTGTATGAAAGCCTAGATGGAGCTAAGGGTCACAGATTCAAAAGAGAAAGGTCTTGGATGGCGCAAGCTGAAGTCACAATTAGACATGTCTGCAGGCTTGATAATACTGGGTAAGGAGAGAAGTGAGTCACAGTGTCCGAGCAACAATCAGATTTGTATAATCACATTGGGTTAGGAGGGCTGGGATTCTTCTTCTTCTTCTTTGTGTTCACCAGCTGTAAACTGTGGCGGGAAGTTCTGGTTGTTCATCCACTTCTGGACTGCAGTCCTGTTACAGAAACTGAGTGTTGCGTGTGATTCCGTTTTACAGATCTAAGTCATTTGTATGCAGACTGCTGGTTCCTTGCCTCTTCGGCAGATGCAATTAGTCGACTCTTACAACATGCTTTTGGGTAGTCAGTGGGTCTACCGGAAAGTGCAAGGATTGACCAGCTGACGCTGCATAATCAGTTCAACAAATGATTCATGGTAATTCCCGCCCAGGTAATGTGATTTTCTATTCAGATGGCTCTGTGCTGAGAGGCAGATGAAGTTTGTAGGTGTTCTTAACAAAAGCGAATGAGCATCGTTTAGTGCAACAAAACCTAGCATATGACACAAAATCTAGTTTGAGAACGGAGGTGGAGGCAGTCATTGCAACCTCCCGCTGGCTTGAGGACCTGCTGCAAACATCACGTCGTCATTGTAACTGACTCACAGAGCTGGCTGAAAATGGTCAAAACAGGTATGTTTTGTGCCGACTGGCAAGCATCACTTCAGAGATCCCATGTTTTAGTGTCATAATGGAAACTTTCTTCAGACTTACATATTTTGGAGGAATAAGCAGACAGAGTGGCTGTTTCTGCTCCACTTGGTGGTAAACTTATGCACCACAAGTTAGATGTTATAACGGCTCTTTTGGAGTGAGTGAACAGTGCCAAAATATAAATAGGTCATCACGGTCCAAAGTAAGAAGAGATGAGGGAATCAGACTGTGTCTGGTACCATAAGAATTGGAACTCTGCACTTGATGCTGAAGATGGGGATGTCCTGACTGATTTGATGTTAATTCTTACCGTTATCATCATCACCTGTGGCACTATCTTCATCTCCTCTTTCATTGTTACAGATATACTTTCCTATTGGTATCGGATATAATTACAGACCAGACATGATTCATGTGAACCTTGAGCTTCCAAGGTAGTAGATGACTTCCTCACCAGTCTACCATGCAGGCACTACCACTTTTATTCACAAACGACATCATAAAAAGGATACACTGTAAACTATGATCAGACTACGGCAGGATTCAACAGGCAACTTCAAGGAATCCCTAAACTCTGAAATAAATAACAAGATATATGTCTCATAATTCATAATATTCTGTAGATTCATACATGAATGAATACATGACACTTAAAAGCTAAACATATCATCAGCATCATGTGCATAGCCAGATGGTATAGATGTTCATATTTCTCCTCCCCGTGTGCAAGGAGAGAATGAGTACAGACCCACTGCTTACCCAAAAAATCATGATGTAAGAGTTGACTTATTTGGAGCATCCTTTGAAATTGGAGGGCATCTGAGTAAGACACAGGAAACCAACAGTCTGCATTCAAATAAGCGGATCTGTAAAATGCATGTGCACAAAACACTAAGGTTTCTAGAACAAAACTAAAGTCCAGAGTTGGACGAACAACCAAAACTTTCCACTCGAGTTTACAGCCGGTCAACGTGAACATGAAGAAGAAAAAGAAGAGAAAGAGGAAGAGAAGAAGAAGAAGAAGAAGATGTCTCCAAAGATCTCAGTCCTTGGTACTTTGGATCAGTTCCAGGAGTGGTATCCCTCCATGGCAGTGTCACAGACCATTCAGCATCATTTCACTAAATCTGTCTCTGGCTGGTCCACCGCCAATCTTTTCAGGCATCCCAATGCTCATCGATACCTCTTACTCAAAAAAATGACCCGCAGAACAGTTTGTCTCTTTCTCATACTTGTATATGATTTTCTTCTTTCATTTGCTTTGCCCAGTTATTCACGGTCACAACCTTTACCTTTGCACCAACACTTTTTTTATCTTCCCAGCAGAGTGTTGCATTGTGCCATAAGGAGGTGTGGGAATCATAGTCCATGGTGTCGACTAGTGTGACTAGCAAGACCCGCTCCTGTCACTACAGGCCTCTCAGAAACATCCACTAGGCTCTTTCTAATTTGTCCACTAACATTCTTACAGCTTAACAGGTTTTTATTATATGCGACAAACAAAGGGTGCTGTGAAAATTAGCCTTCATCAGCAGAATAACAAGGAAAAACAAAACGCACCACACAAACAGACTCTGAAATAACTACAACAGAGTATTAAATATTATGTAACCAAGTTAAACAAAATAAGAATAAAAGATATCATTATTTTAAGTATGTTACACTTACCTGGACTGTTGTGAAAACGAATATCAAAAACTACTAATCACATATGATGCGTTAACTGGTAAACATGAAGAATAACCATGAACGCATGATGCGCTTGGCTTGGACGGAACTGCCTGACCTCACCTTCTTCTTTGAATTACGAGGGGACAATAAGTAGGTCATAAATGGTTATGGGATGGCAGGAAAATGTAGCTGGTTGTTTCTAATGGTGTCATTAGGTGGCGCTAGGTGTTGCATGCATATTTGCAACACAGAAACAAAAATAGCGACTGTGCTTATGGAATGTACACTCAAAGAACAACGTGCTGTTACATATTTTTTTTTTTTTTTGAGCAAAGGACATTCATAAGGAAATGCTTCCTCTTTTTGTTGACAAATGTTTATTCCATAAAGCGGTGTACAGCTGGGTAAAAAAAAATTGTCTCAAGGACTCACCTTGGCGGGAGATATTTTTATTTTATGACACAGGTTGAATGTGAAGTAAAAATGTGGTTTAGAAAACAGAATGCAGTTCTATGCAGCAGGTTTGGGAGGACTGATAAAGTAATGGGATAATTGCATCAATGTTGGTGGAACTAACTGCCTGACTGACTTTTTACCCCACCAGGACATCACACTGAGCAATAAACACCCAGTGACACAAAAGTGCCACCATTCAGATAAGGATCACCTGTAGAGAGGTCCCAAAAACCTTGTTGAACCATTAGGTTATATTAGGGCCACCGACAACAACCAGCGTGAGGCTTCAAAAAAAAAAAAAAAAATTAGTCCCACATAGGTATGGAGACAATGAATGTTGGTGGAATGAGTCAGTGAGATTCAACCCCACCAGGGCATCCACGAAGCGATAAACACCCAGTGACATAAAGTGCCACCATGGGGATGATGATCACCTGGGGAGAGGTCCCAGAAATCCCGTTCAACCGTTAGGTTATACCAGGACCCCCATCTACAGCCAAGGTGCGGCTTTTAAATAATGAAAAATTTTGTCCCATATTGGGAGGACATAAAATAATTAAGTTGGTGAAAATTAAACTGAAAAATAGAGGGTATGAAAAGAAATAAACGGTTTTGAAGCTGTTATCGTCTTTATTTGTTTTTTTTAAACCATTTGTGACTTACTTATTGACTTCCCCTTGTAGCAATTGGCTAGTGGTTTTTAACACCCACCCTCCTCCGCCCCAACCCAAGTCAAGAAGTAATGTAACTTTTATTTTAATCTATCTCTACTTGAAAATAAGTCAGAATTGCATAGTTATTTCATTTTATTTTTTTAAAATCCTGTGAAATTTCACATGGAAAATGATAAATGACCTCGTCCCCATGCCACTGAGGAATATCTGAAGAAAGGGGTTCCTGTATACCAAACTGCCTTACTCATGTGGTTGGTATCATCTCCCAGGAGGACTCCACAAAGCCAATTTTATGAGGCTGGGTGACCCCTAGAGCCACAGCCACAAACACATTCCACCTCATATTTAAATTCAGAACCACTCAGCTGATGGGCCAGTGCACTAGTCACCATCACACTACAGCTTGCACATTTATAAAGTGGGACATTAAATGTATAATGCAGCTCTAATAGAATAGCAATGATTTATACCAGTCAAAACAGTAGATAACGCAAAACTTCCAAAATAAGTTGACACAAACACTACACTTTAGCTAAGCAAAAGCCTTTAACTAAACTTTAATTAAACTTTTGCTAACTTTGTTAACTCCCAAAATGCTTAAAGGGTGTTTAAAGGAGATAGGATTTTGTTTTTCTCCACACAGTGGCTGTTTGCCCACAGTGAGTGTCACAACAAGCACGAAGCTCTAAAGTTAGAGGGATGATCCCTACAGATCTCCAACACACCTCTACTAGCAAACTGAAGGATGCAGTCCTACACCAACAGAACAAACTTCAGAACACATGGCTAGCAGCTGATCCATGAAAACAGCCATATCCACACATACAGTCATGCCGCATGCACGTACACGTACACGTACACACATAACAAACGAACAAAGTCAATACAAAGTTGTTTAAAACAAATACCCAATTAATAGTTTACACATAAACAAACTTGACATACAGACACCTACCACCAGTGGCAATATCCTCTAGAAATGTACTGAGTTCATGGGCATCTAAATTCTGGTCGGGCCCAGCATGTCGCACAAATGTACGAGACACCAGGTCATTTTGAGGTGGAACAGGCTGCAGTGGTGGTTGGTGTGGTGGACACAACAGACAAAAAAAATGCTGCTGTAATTATGTCTTAATGATGATATGTATGTTGGCTTTGGTGTATACTGCACAGACAGTATTATGTTATGTGTGTGCTGTCATTAACTGAACTATACATGCATGGCTTATGTGCACACTCTCATCTAGATTATTCTTATTCTGCCTTTTCTTCGTCATCACAGATCGGAGTTACATAATTGTGCTGTGCATGTTTACAGCATAGCTGCAAGATTAATGCCTTTTGGCTAACACATCTGACTTTATCTGGCAATAGTTTTCTGGGTTAACCTTCTTGGTTAGCTTTTTGGAATGCCGAGGTTAATTGCATTGCCTGATTGGTGTGATAATCTTTACATTCCTTGATCCACAGTTGTTGTCTCTAGAGAACACGTTCAGGGCAGATACATGCAGATAGGTCAGTCCTCAATCCATTCATCCATTTATGTAAAACGAAACCAAAAAAGTGACCACGTTTAACCTACTAAGAGCAGTGTCTGTTATAATTGTAGTCTGGCTTCCTTGTGCCAATTATGTTGGTTAAGAAATGTTGATTGCACCAAAACTAGTGGCTTGGAACGGTATTCTAGTGTCTATTGAAGGCTGTTAGGGAGGGGGCTGCTTGTGTGGCCATGTACACACATGCGCACACGCCCTAGCGGGAATTCATGCACACATGTTTGCTTACATACATACATACGCATGTACACATACACTCAAGTCAGACGCCGTCGTGCGCGGCCAGACGCTCGTCCGTGATCAGGCCTTGGGTTCAGATCTGAACGTAGTCAGTCTCTAGTCTGGGTTTTTGGCTTTCATATGTGACACCTTCTCAATATCCTTACTATATGGGGATAGCTAAGCAGTCTTGGCCAGTTTAGGTTGTTTTACAAAATTAAATTCCTTTTCCTTTATTATTCGCCTTCCTCCGTTCCTTTTTCTCACCTCACCATCTCTGTCTTATCATATCTTTATCTATAGAGACTCAAATATTTAATGGATTTCTTTATATCTGTTTCTGTAAGTTCTCATTGCTGTCAACATGTAAGCATTCCTTGGATGTCAACGGTGTTTTCCTGAAAGCAGTCTAAGGACAAGGGTGCTGTAAATTTGACTTTCCAGTATCCAAGTCCTAATCTCCATGACTTTTTTTTTTTCAGGTTGTCTGTGACTTGTGATGTTAGGGTGGGTTCTATCAAATGTTTACATGCCCTACTGCCAGTAGCACTCATGTCCAGCTGTCTCTTCCACATTCCTGTAATATACCGTCTGATCTGACTCTTCCCTTTGGATATTTCTTGGCCTGTTTCCATTAAATTATGGCTGCTGGTACCTCTTTTTGCAAAAATGTCAGCTTTTTCATTACCAGCTATGCCTTTATGAGCTGAAACCCATACTATGGTAATCTGACATCCGCTGTTCCTAAGTTGTGTGGTCAGTGTTAATATCTCTTCTTTTATGTCTGATCTACGTCCCTGTGTATAGTTTCCTTGTGATTGTACCAATGAAAGAGAATCTGTCATTACTATCAGTTTCAAGGAAGGGTTTTCTGCTGCTATCTCCAAAGCTTTCATTATGCGGCCAGTTCGGCTGTGAAAACTGACGTATGATCTGTGATTTTATGAGATTTTTGTATTTTCCAATAAGGAATATAAACACTTGCTCCTACTTCTCCTTTATCAGTTTTGGATCCATCCGTGTATATTATCAGGTTATCAGTTTCAATGTTTCTAATGCGCTCCTCTTCTATGGTCCTTAGCTCAATGGAATGCAGGGGCCGACAATGGGAATTTCTCACCATCTAAAAAGCTTCTTTAAATACAGAACCTATTCAAATGCTGTGGTACTGGGCTCACCCAGTTCTGCACATGACTACTTATATAGTTTATCACAAAAAGGTATAAGGAATTCATAAGTGAAAGAGAAACAACATGCTGAAACTTACTGGTGGTATTTCGGCACTTTCAGCGGGGTATCTTTGGCTGTGAGAAACACAGATACCATAATGCTGTTCAAATATCAATGTTGTGGTATTTATTCATGGAGTATTTATAAAATGAATTGCACAATCAATAGCCAATCCAAGTTTCCCCATGTGGTAGAAGCTTGGGTTAAAAAAAAATGACTATTTAGTGGTCTGCTGAAATCAGAGGTGTTGCACCAAAAGTGTCGATTTTACCTGTACCCAGATAATAACATTAATGCCACTGCCTTAACTGTAAATTTAGGCACAGTTCATTTCTTTTATTACAGTTAGTTCTGTCTTATACCATTTTTTAGGCTGGGGCCCATCATTTTACTGACTATAGCCACTTTATCTACCATTTTCTGTACTTCTTTCTGGTTGTTGCTTTCAAGACATTGTAATTAGACAACTATAAATTATTTATATTTAGACCGCCAACCATGATCCCTGACATTTTGAATAATATCATTAAATGTTCCCTGAATAATGAAAAAATAAGCAGACAGCCCACAACCTCCATTACCAGCTTTAAATGCTGGTTGATAAAAGTATCTTAGATTTATCTTACTACAGCCTGGCAGTCACTCAGATTTATCTAAATACAGCATGTAAGTTACTCAATCCAGATTCATGTTACCAGAGCATGGGGGTCACTTAGTTTCATGTTGCTAGAACATGGGATTCACTCAGATTCATGTTACCAGAGCATGGGGGTCACTCAGATTCATGTTACCAGAGCATGGGGGTCACTCAGATTCATGTTACCACAGCATGGATGTGAGTTAGGTAAAGATTAAGAGACAGTGTAGAACAAGACATAAGGAGTAAGACCACTACAGAGAGAGAGATAGAGATAGAGAGAGAGAGAGAGAGAGAGAGAGAGAGAGAGAGAGAGAGAGAGAGAGAGAGAGAGAGAGAGAGAGAGAGAGAGAAAGAGAGAGAGCTGGAAATAAGTAGTGTTGGCAGCAAGAACTTGCAGATTAATGATACAGACACAGAATAGAAGATAATCAGAGTTTAAACCTCCATTTAACTATCATCACAGAGAAATATACTCTCAGTTCAACCAGCATTCAACTATCATCACAGAGAAACATACTCTCAGTTCAACCGGGATTCAACTATCATCACACAAAAACAAACTCTTAGTTCAACATGTATTAAACTATCATCACACAAAAACATACTCTTAGTTCAACATGTATTAAACTATCATCACAAAGAAACATACTCTCAGTTTAACCGGCATTCAACTATCATCACAGAGAAACATACTCTCAGTTTAACCGGCATTCAACTATCATCACAGAGAAACATACTCTCAGTTCAACCGGTATTCAACTATCATCACAAAGAAACATACTCTCAGTTCAACCGGCATTCAACTATCATCACAGAGAAACATACTCTCAGTTCAACCGGCATTCAACTATCATCACAAAGAAACATACTCTCAGTTCAACCGGCATTCATCAACTATCATCACAGAGAAACATACTCTCAGTTCAACCGGCATTCAACTATCATCACAAAGAAACATACTCTCAGTTCAACCGGCATTCAACTATCATCACAGAGAAACATACTCTCAGTTCAACCGGCATTCAACTATCATCACAAAGAAACATACTCTCAGTTCAACCGGCATTCAACTATCATCACAGAGAAATAGACTCTCAGTTCATGCAACAAATCAAATCAACATTGACCTTACTTGCTTTCAGCAGTTGGACACTCTGTGAATGCCCTCAGAACAAACTCAGCCTCCTGATGTGGTTTGTGAGTGCTTACAATGATGACATATCTACCAGGTTTCACCACAAATCTTCTGGTGACCTCTCGTTGAGAAAAGTGAGTGGCTGACTCATCACTGTGTAGACTTGAATTACCAATCTGTTGGAGTCCACGGTCTGTTGGCTATGAAATAATTAAAGTTTGAATTACAAAAATACTTCATTAAACCAAGATATAACATCTAGAAAAATGGAACTGTCAATCAAACAATGAATATAAATCAAGCGCACTGAAGTAAAATCCAGAAATATTTTCAGTCCTTTGGAATGCTGGACATAGAGTGCTAGACCTAATTTGTTGAAGATCAATCAGCACTTGACTAGTGATGGGGACAGTATCATGCCAGCCACCTTTACTTCCCAGGAAATTACAGAGGAAGAGGAAGCCAGAAAGTCTAAAGCAAACCCTAAAAGGAATGCTCATTAGAGAAGCCAATGTGCTGGACTGGATTCTGATCATTATAGCAAAGGATTTTGTACAGGATAGGATGAAATGTATGTATGTATGAAAGTTGTAATCCACAAGGACATCACAGTAACTATAAACAGCCGGTGACACAATGTGCCACCATGCGGATGAGAATCACCCGTGGAGAGGTCCCGGAAACCCAGTTCAGCCGTTATGCCATATTTCAGGCCAACCTTTATTTAGGGCCCCCGGCAAAAGCCAGGGATGGGTTTCAATATAACTAAAAATTGCATCCCTCACGGGGATGATGTGATGAGGACGGAATGGAAGAACAGACTGGGAGCACTATGTGACATATGATGGCACGACAGGGCAATGATCAACAGTAATAGTATCAAAGGTATAGAAGAATATCAATTACCATGTAAATATCAAAACCAATAAAAATATCCGGCTGATCACGTGTATCCTTCCTCAGCAGTGATACAATCAACGTACAGTCATCTCCACGATCAAGAGTGACATCAGGTGACAATAAAGTGATAGTCATTCGAGGATTTATTCTGTACAAATCTGTAGAAAGGTAAAATAAAACAAATCATTAAATATTATGTTATGTCATTTCAAAATTAGGTTCCGCTTTCGTTATTATATTGAGTGGTTTTCGTCACTTAAAATAAACTATTAACCATTTCAAACACGTGATGGCAACGTGTTCCACCTGGACGCTGCAGGGAAGTAAATGTGTTTGTTAAATACTAAGTTATTATTAATTGTTTGATGTTTTTTGAACCCGCATACCTCATTGCTTTTAGCGCCCTTAACAACATGAACTAACTATATGCAAATATGGCCACAAGGGCCAGAGGGGCCATGAGCTTTAGATGTCCAATCTCTCATTCAGTTGAGCACACCAGCTGTTATCCCTTGAAAGCTTGGTGTAGCCCTATGCGTACTTGTACCTATAGGGTGAAAGGGACGCCCTTGGGTCGAACGTCACTTGATCAAGAAAACCCCTTCTACAGTCAAGACGGTTGTGCATGACTGAAAAGGCATAAAATACAACAGATCTAGAGTAGATCTTGATTTTGAAAAAACTACGTGCCTACTGGCAGAATGGCTTTGGGATATACAGTCGTAAACGTGGAGTATCTGGTAAGCAGGTGGGGTGATGCCAAGCATTTGAACTCCGTCAGGACATCCCCTGCCTCTTCCCTAGCAGGCAGGCAATACTAGGGTGACCGTTTACTTCCTGCACTGAAAGAATATTTCCTATGGATTTTTTACTTGATAATAAAATATCATCACCAGATCTACGGAGTGCGTGATCTGTGCTTGATACCATCTTCAGGTGGAAACGGAGAGAGTTGGGAGAGGAGAAGATGAGGAAAAAGGTATAGAAATAGGAGAGTAGCAGCAAGGAAAGTGTTGAAAAACAGAGCGTCTAGGATTAAAGCATAGAGTGGACTCCATTCACTATGCTTGAGGAGCTTGATTTTGCAGATGATATAGCACTCCTATCACATAAACATGAACATATACAAGAAAAAAAGTAACAGACCACACAGCACAGCAGAAATGGTGGGACTGAGAATAAATACAAAGAAAACTAAGATCATGACAAGCAGTCCAAACCAACAACCAGTGACCATAAATAACCAAACTCTTGAAAATGTAGAACATTTCACATATCTTGGCAGTGTGGTGTCCCTGCCGGGAGGGACCGAAAAGGACATACAGTCACGTCTGAACAAAGCTAGAGCTGCTTTTGGAAGGATGAGGCAAATCTAGAAATCCAACAATTACTGCTGAGGAACGAAACTCCGACTCTACAAGAGCATTATTTTGCCAGTTATTCTTTATGGAGCAGAATGCTGGAGAATGACCGAGAACGACGCACACAAGCTGTACACCTTCCACCACACATGTCTACGTAGAATTATCAAAGTTTTCTGGCCAGATACAATCTCAAACACTAAACTACTTCAAGTCACAAACCAAGAAACTTTAGACAATATGATAACCAAGAGAAGATGGAAATGGCTTGGCCACGTTATGAGAATGAATCCTGATATACCTGCCAAAACAGCTCTCCCATGGACACCAGAGGGAAAGAGAAAACAGGGGCGCGCAAAAACAACATGGAGACGAACGATGGAAAGTGACCTGAGAGCGGCATCTTTGACATGGAAAACTGCACTGAAGATTGCACAGGACAGGAAAGCATGGAAAGTCCTCTCTGAAGCCTCATGTGCCACTAGGCATAACAAGAACTGATGAGAGTGGGTTACTGGAATTGTCGTAGTGCCAAGCAGAGAGGACCTGTACTGGAGAGGTTGATTTATGACTTTGATATCATCATGCTGCAGAAATCAAACATAGATAGCTATGAGTGTCCTGGATACATTAGGACCTGGGCAATGTCTGCTGGTGAAGAATGGGGTCAAGCATGTGCTTCTTGACTTGGGCCAGTGGAATCAAAGTACACTAGAGATTGAGTGTATACAGATAGATAGTGGGAGCACGACTAGGAATTTAGTCAAGGCTGAACTTTTTCTATACAAAATCTAGTACAGAATACTGGATTTCAAAGATTCTGTGAATAAAAAACATATATTGGCAGAAACATAAGGGTGTGAGACTATTCTGCAATCACTAAAAAAACAGGGGAGGGAGGAAAGAATTTATTTGTAGACAATATCCTTTCTCAGAAACTGAAGGTCTGCCAAATGAAATCCCACAATGCTTTGAAGAGAACAGTAATGGAAGGTATGGTTCCTGGAAGATAAGGGAGAGGTCAATGAGCATGGTGGACCCAAGGACACTGTGGGTATGAAAGTTGTTTTTCTTCTTTGCATTCACCAGCTGTAAACTCTGACAGAAAGTTGTGGTTGTTCATCCACTTCTGGACTTTAGTCTGTTCTAGAATGCGAGTTCTGCAGGCACATCTGTTTCAGAGATCTGGATTATTTGTATGCAGCTTGCTAGTTCCTTGTCTCTCAGGCAGATGCACTCTAGCTTCGAAGGATATTTCTAATTATTCTACTTTTTTGATATGCTTGTTAGGGAGGCAGTGGGTCTATTCTTGTTTTGTTTCCCCCTCAACTGGGCCCCGGAACCCATACAGGGAGACGAGACAGAAAAGTTGGCAAGGTAGCGAGTGACTTTCTTTTGCACATTGACAGAGCATTGTTCTGCAAAAAGAAATGCTGCATGATGATGATGATGATAACAGCAAATAGCTCTGACAAGAATCAACAACCATTAAGGAACATTTTAGGGAAGAAGAATGGTAGATAGGTAGGTAATTGTACCCCACCAGGACTTCACACAAGTGATAAACACCCGGTGACACAAAGTGCAGCCATGTGGGGCAGATGGGTGCCTTTATATCCCAGACAATTCTTGAAACTGCCTAGTATAGGGGGGTACAATAAAGCCTGTGTTTGCTGGAATGCAGCATCTTTGGCACGGTTGTTTCCGAACACACTACATAATTCCGAGATGCCAGGTTTGATCCCAGTTGCAGGTGATTTGGCAGCAGAACGCTTTGCAACAGTTTCACCAGTAAAATCTGACAGTCTTTTATAAGAAAGCAATAGCAAACTACTGAAAATAAAATACTGCCCAGTGAAATCATAAAGAGCCCAAAAGTTGCTGAGGTGGGTTTTGCAATGTCATGTAAAGGATACATAGCTAACTTTTGCTGGAAACTTAACTTGAACTATTGTCCTGACAGACTTAAACTGGAACCATTGTCTTGACAGACTTAAACTGGAACCATTGTCCTGACAGACTTAACCTGGAACCATTGTCTTGACAGACTTAAACTGGAACCATTGTCCTGACAGACTTAAACTGGAACCATTGTCCTGACAGACTTAAACTGGAACCATTGTCCTGACAGACTTAAACTGGAACCATTGTCCTGACAGACTTAAACTGGAACCATTGTCTTGACAGACTTAAACTGGAACCATTGTCCTGACAGACTTAAACTGGAACCATTGTCCTGACAGACTTAAACTGGAACCATTGTCCTGACAGACTTAAACTGGAACCATTGTCCTGACAGACTTAAACTGGAACCATTGTCTTGACAGACTTAAACTGGAACCATTGTCCTGACAGACTTAAACTGGAACCATTGTCCTGACAGACTTAAACTGGAACCATTGTCCTGACAGACTTAAACTGGAACCATTGTCCTGACAGACTTAAACTGGAACCATAGTTCTGACAGACTTAAACTGGAACCATAGTTCTGACAGACTGGAACCCCTGCAGCTCATGTGTGGTATTCAATCCTGCATTAAAGATCTTACTTTTATTTATAAAGAAAATAAATGACCATACCCCTGTGAGGCCCACAACCACCAGCTGTGTGGTCCTTGACCCAAGCACCAGAAGCCACATTGATATACCACATCTGTTTTATCTGTAATAGAACAAATGAATTTAAGATCTCTCTCTCTCTCTTTCTCTTTCTCTCTCTCTCTCTCTCTCTCTCTCTCTCTCTCTCTCTCTCTCTCTCTCTCTCTCTCTCTCTCTCTCTCTCTCTCTCTCTCTCTCTCTCTTTCTCTCTCTCTCTCTCTCTCCCCCCTCCCTCTCTGTCGCCCCTTTAAAAAAAACTGGTCGCCCCTACAAACAACCTGACTGTCTTTATTAACGACTGTTCGCTCAACAGCCATGCAGTTCTTTGGCACGAAGGAAACACCTTGAACTTGGGTTTTAGACTGCCGACTCTCTACAAGATGACGTATGTTTGCAACTTGTGTACCATAGCCAAAAATATATATATAATTAAAAGCTGTCTCACAGTATTGCTAAATTTCAACACATGTATGTACATGCATACCCAAATGTGAAGTGGAAAAAAAAAAATAACACACACACAAACACAATCCTGCATACGTCCCGCAAAATTATATACATATTCATACACCCATACACCTGTCACACGTATGTTTACTGATGCAGCACATGTGCAGCACATATGTATGTATTAATATATATATATAAGTAAAAAGTAAGTAAAGGTAAGTAAAGGACCCTTTTCCAAGCCTTAAGGTGTATAGGGCATATAGGGCTAGACCTATATTTTTATAGACCAATCGGCACAAGATGGGTGATGTGGTCAGTATCACGCCGGCCGCCGTCACTTTCCCAGGACTGCACCCGGTACCCACTCAAGGCTGGATCGATCTGGGAGCCGAGGTCATTTTTTTTAAAAGTCTGAGGGAGGAGAAGGAGAGAAAGAGGGAGAATAAGTAAGGAGAGAAAGAAGAAAGCTGATAAGAGGAAGACTAAAAAACAAACTGACAATTATCTCTTGAATTCATTCACGTTGGATATTTGAACTGTCGAAGCGCAAAGCAACAAGCACTTACATTGCAGAAAATAGTGTACGATTTTGATATTCTCACGATCCAGGAGTGTAGAATAAAAGATGGATCGACCATTAACTGTCCAGAATATGACTGCTGCAGTTATCCTTGTGAAACCCAAACTGAGGTTCAGCAATGTATGTCAGACATGGAATCCAACATCGATGGCTAGATACACAAAAGTAAAACAGTGACATGCTTGAGATTCAAGGATTAGTTGTTTCCATAGACCACCCCGACTGGTACATCTTCAAAGTTTTGGTGCATGGGGATCAACTTCCAAATGACGGCGCATGGGAATTCCTAGCAAATTTAGTTGAGTATGATGGAGAATGTTTAATAGCTGGGGATTTTAACGCTTGGTCAAAAGAATGGGGAAATCAGACAGAAAACAGGGAGTTGCACTGATTTAGGTCCCACTAAGCAAGAGCTTCACCGTTTTAAACAATGGTTGTGCCACAAGATTAACAGACAGAGCCGGAGACTCGGATGTAGTGATCGACCTAGCATTAGCATCCAGTACTGATGCACACACAGTGCGCTGGGGTGTTCTAGGGGCACGAAAATGATCGTCTGCATTGCGTTGTTCACATCTAAAAGGGACAGACTGTTAAGCAAATGAAACCACACCACATGTTCAAATATACGGCCTATAAAGATCAAGTTGGTAAATTGCATTTGTTGCGCCAAACAGACAAAAGATACGAAAAACAACATCTGTGCAACCACCGTTGTGGAACGAACAGGTGGAAAAAGCATGGAAAGCAAAAAGATTGGCTATAAATGAATGGCAGAAAGCATGAAAACAAGCCTGCAAATTATGAAGATATTGAGGGAAAACATCAGGATAAATAAATGCTGAGTAATGCATTAAATTTTAGTGAAAGGCGTAGTGGGGGAAAAAACACTACATAAATTCAAGAATTTGCACCGACAAATTAATAGAAAAAGCACTGTACGCAAAATATTTAGGATTCAGGAGGTAAAATACTGACAAGTGACAAGAAGAAGGGACAAGAGTTGTTTCATCGGTATTTAATCCAAACAGATAAATATAATAGGACAGATCGGAACAACACTCTGGAGAATCTCAGTCATTGCACTGTCATAGACAATGATTATAAACACTTGGTGGCTGAAATCGAATCCAGGTGGCACTGCAAGGCAGCAGAAAAAATGGACTAGACGATGTACTATGGCCATATCAAACAGTTAAATAGTGATGAAATACTATGAGTGGTGAGGGACTTTAATGATAGTATCCAGACGTCAAATGTAAAAGATGAGTTATCTTAAACCATTTCAAAAAACAGGCAAGGATCCCGCGCAGCTCAACAGTTATAGAATCATTACCCTGCAAAATGTGTATGGCAAACTGGGAAAAAGTGTTGTGAAGAAATTGATGTCACACTTAGAAAGAATGGGCATGCTACCAGACACCATGGGCAGCTATAGACTCTCAAAGGCAACATGGGACAACGCTGGTAGGTTTACATATGATGTATATGATTGATTTCAGTGAAAGCAAAAAACGATCGATGTTGCGATAGATCTCAAAGATGCCTATAACGGCGTTGACTTCACATATTTTATGCAGTGTGTGGTGGACTGTGGTGTGAATCCTTGGTTAGCAAACCGGATAGGGGCAGCAAAGTTGGAAAGAACAGTATTATTTGGCTGGGGAACATGGAAATCGGATCCAGTACACATTTGCCCTGGCCTTCTTCAAGGATTACCACTGTCACCTGTCTTGTTCAACATATATACACCAAGTCTGGCAAAAATATCCTGTTGGACCAGGGCGAACTTTGACATTTTCAAATGTTGTCCTAATGTATCCAAGCAGGTCAGACAGGCATGACATGACCAGTTAGTTAGTTAGTTAGTTAGTTAGTTAGTTAGTTAGTTAGTTAGTTAGTTAGTTAGTTAGTTAGTTAGTTAGTTAGTTAGTTAGTTAGTTAGTTAGTTAGTTAGTTAGTTAGTTAGTTAGTTAGTTAGTTGGGTTTTCATCACTGCACTCTGTACATGTCCATAGATGCTCAGATCCTCCCCTCAGTATGAAACCCAACGTCCGATGGCTAATAGTACGTTCTATGTTGATTAACAAGTCTTCTGGTGTATCTGGTGTGCGTCTCGTTTTTTGCTATGCCGATCTTAATTCCCAAGTCTTCCATTCTGGCAAGTGATGTGGATTCACTGCCCCCAAGTCCTTTATCCTTCCCATTTCTCTGCGGGCATTAATAATATCAGCATGATCCATAGGCTGACCGTCGGTAGTGATAGCGGATCCAGCCAACCTATGAGCTCTTTCATTTCCATCGACGCCTGCGTTTCCTGGAACAAAAATAAAGGTGACTCCACGCACAGTGGACTTCTGAAATGATTCAAGCCATTGTCTTCGCACCAAACCTGACTGCTTGGAAAAGGGTCCTTTACTTTTTTTTTCTTACTGTGTAATTACAACACTCTGAATAAATATACAGCTGCTTTGACTTCCACACATGTCCTAAGATGTAGATTCTGAATCTTCTTTTTCTTCTTCTTCACTTCCTCTTTTACCGCTGTGGGTGTCGAGGGAGATATAAGGTTCTGTTTCTAGCTCTTCTGGCTGCCTCGACCATAGGCACATCGTGCTGTTGTAGAGTTTCTCTGATGTTATCCTTCCATCTTGTTCTTGGTCTACCCCGTGCTCTACGTCCTTCTTCTCTTTCCATGTATGCTTTGTATGGTATGACGTCACAAGGCATTCTCTCTAAGTGGGCAAACCATTTCACTTGGCACTGAATACAGATCAATAATGTTACATGTACAACAAGCTACTGAACAAGCAGCTGACAGAGAATTTAATCATCTCACCTCATTGTGTCCAAGTTCTGAAACAAGTGAATCTATCTGAAAATGACACAGGTGAATTGCATCAAAACTCTTGATGAAATCATCAAAGTTCATCCTGCAAGGCAAACAGTGGACATGACACTATTCATTACACCCTTATATTTATATTATAAATGAGACAAAGTGGCTTTTTCATTATCATTTCTTTAACCCCAAAAAATAAATTACTTTTACACTTCACTGTTTTTCATGTGGCACTTGTTGTTCAGCAATAAAATATCTCCTTGGCTATTTAAAACTTAAACTATAACATTAAGTTACCACTATTTAAAAGTATAATTAGGTCATCCAGTAGCCATGATTCAAACTACAGTTACATCAGTAAGTTGCCACTATACAAATTGGAATGGCAAACAATATGCTGTCACTATTAGCTCTTTCATTACTATACAACTCATAAATTTAGTGGGTTATCTAAAGATGGTAAAAACTTCTTACTCTTTTTCAGCATAGATAGTCTCATCGCATTACAATCATTAGTTTTACTTCTTCTGCCCAGTGTGTTATCAACTTCTTTGGACTCAGACTTCAGATAATTTAAACTTGGCCCTCTTGGAATTATATATATATATATATATATATATATATATATATATATATATATATATATATATATATATATATATATATATATATATATATATATGGTTAAATAAAGTAATCATAGTCTGGTACTGAAAGAGCTAAAAACCATAACTGTGATGGTAAGTTGCTGCCTTATAAACGATAATTTTCACACTGAGCTGCCTTTTTAAACCTACAAGTACAATCTCAAGTTGCTACTGTTAAAGGTTATAATTAGAACTTCTGTACCGCTCAGTTCACGAGTGAAATTTTTATGGAGATCCCTGGGAAATGTGACCGGAGATACAAAGTTTGTGCTAGCGGTGCTGCAGAGGGATACTGAGCCATATGGGATAATGCCTGGTGCAATGAAGTCAGTCCTCTCAAGCTTTACCGGTTTTTAGTTAAATATATTTATATTTTAATATAAGCAACCGGCACTATGTACGGTAGATGGTACAATTTCTCAGCTGATATAGCCTACAGTTTACAATTTTAACCATGCTCTACATAAATATTTCTCAATTAACTATTTTATATATGAAACAACTATAATTAACTTTCTATATGAAGTATTTAATGTTAAATTATAAAATTAACCCAAAGCATAGAACAATATTTATCATTACCAGAATTCACCATCATCTGTGCAATGAAAATTCAAATCATCCCGTATGTTTTGGGGTAGGCTAAGCATCTCATCAGAACTGGAGGAAAAACAAAATAAATAGAAAAAGATATAACTAACCAGTTCTACTTAACTATTGACATCTTGAAGAAACTTGTGGCAACTGCATACAAGACATGGGATTTCTTCCTCTTCTTCTTAGCGTTCACTGAGCGTACACTCCAGCAGAAATTGCTGGTTGTTCGTCCACTTCAAGACTTTCGTCCTGTTCCAGAAATTGAATTCGGCATGCATATCCATTTTACAGACCTGCTTTTTTTTTTTTTTATATGTGGACTGTTGATTCCTTGCCTCTCAGGCAGATGTGCTTTTATGTTTATATGTGGACTGTTGATTCCTTGCCTCTCAGGCAGATGTGCTTTTATGTTTATATGTGGACTGTTGATTCCTTGCCTCTCAGGCAGATGTGCCTAGGCTACGGAAAATAAGTACCTAATTAATCGCCTTTTGCAACAATCTTGTTGGGAAGGCAGTGGGTGTATTCTTGTTTGCCCTTTCGGAGCCCATATAGGGATTCACATTTTCACTCTGAGTATCAAATCGTTCTAATGAATGACCTACATTTTTTTTTTCTCTTTCATTCCCATTAAAACCAGTGGGATTGCCTGATGTTTTGTTGATATATGGTGTGTCATCAAAATAGTAACTGAACTTTTTTTACGCCAATGGTGCAAAGGGTACATGATTTTAGACTCATATTTTTATAGACGAGTTGGCACTTGATGGACAATTTGGTCAGCATCATGCTGGCCATGTTTTTTTCCCAGGACAATTCAATCATACAATTAAATGATGATTTAGTCCATTATAAATACAACATGTCAAACTGTCCTAAGAGGTCTATCCAATTGGCATGATTAAATTATTTTACACTCTTCTTCGTCCTTTTTGCATTCACAGGCTGCAAACTTTGGTGAAAAGTTATTTGGTGTTTGTCCACCTTCAGACTCTACAATTGTTTGAGAAAATGAGTTTTGCTGGCACATACGTTTCACATATCTAGTTAAACTGTATACAGACCCTTGGTTCCTTGCCTCTCAGGGGCAGATGCACTCCAACTTTGAAGGAAATCTTCAATTAGACAACTCCTACGACATGTTTGTTGAGGAGACAGTGAGTGTATTTGTGTTCCCCACAACGGAGGGAATTTCACGCTCATAAATTTTTATTTTTTTTTTTAACAGAGAAAGAGAGAGAGAGAGCGTGCGCGTGCGAGCGAGAGAGAGAGAGAGAGAGAGAGAGAGAGAGAGAGAGAGAGAGAGAGAGAGAGAGAGAGAGAGAGAGAGAGAGAGATGCACGCATGCATGCACACACACACACACACTCACATAGACAGACAGAAAGAAATAAGTTTTATTTTTATAACTGTTGTTATTGTTGTTGATGCTGTCTCTGTTGTTAATGCTGTCTTCACTGTTGTTGTTGTTGTTGTTGTAGAATGTCATCACTTGGAGCTGAGCAATGATGAATGATCTGAAGAATTTGACAAGAGGCAGGATGGTGATGATTTGCTTTCTACCCAACCAGAAGGCAACAAAACATTCCAATCTGCTGGTGACCTCTTCAAGAGGTGAGTGTAAGACTGGGTGCTGATTGACTATCATCACTGTGTGGAAATTCTGTGACTTTCTAGCAGTCTCACGGTGTGTACACTGAGTCTCATCATACTGGAGACCAGGGTTGATCCTGCCATCCATAGCCAGACTTTTGTCCAGCCAGGATACAGCCAGACTTTTGTCTAGCCAGGATACAGCCAGACTTTTGTCCAGCCAGGATACAGCCAGACTTTTGTCCAGCCAGGATACAGCCAGACTTTTGTCCAGCCAGGATACAGCCAGACTTTTGTCCAGCCAGGATACAGCCAGACGTTTGTCCAGCCAGGATACAGCCAGACTTTTTCCAGCCAGGATACAGCCAGACTTTTGTCCAGCCAGGATACAGCCAGATTTTTGTCCAGCCAGGATACAGCCAGACTTTTGTCCAGCCAGGATACAGCCAGACTTTTTCCAGGCTTTTGTCCAGCCAGGATACAGCCAGACTTTTGTCCAGCCAGGATACATCCAGACTTTTTTCCAGAAAGGATACAGCCGGACTTTTTTCCAGCCAGAATACAGCCAGACTTTTGTCCAGCCAGGATACAGCCAGATGTTTGTCCAGCCAGGATACAGCCAGACGTTTGTCCAGCCAGAATACAGCCAGACTTTTGTCCAGCCAGAATACAGCCAGATTTTTGTCCAGCCAGGATACAGCCAGACTTTTGTCCAGCCAGGATACAGCCAGACTTTTGTCCAGCCAGGATACAGCCAGACTTTTGTCCAGCCAGATATACAGCCAGACTTTTGTCCAGCCAGGATACAGCCAGACTTTTGTCCAGCCAGGATACAGCCAGACTTTTGTCCAGCCAGGATACAGCCAGACTTTTGTCCAGCCAGGATACAGCCAGACTTTTGTCCAGCCAGGATACAGCCAGGCTTTTGTCCAGCCAGGATACATCCAGGCTTTTGTCCAGCCAGGATACAGCCAGACTTTTGTCCAGCCAGGATACATCCAGACTTTTTTCCAGCAAGGATACAGCCGGACTTTTTTCCAGCCAGAATACAGCCAGACTTTTGTCCAGCCAGGATACAGCCAGATGTTTGTCCAGCCAGGATACAGCCAGACGTTTGTCCAGCCAGAATACAGCCAGACTTTTGTCCAGCCAGGATACAGCCAGACGTTTGTCCAGCCAGAATACAGCCAGACTTTTGACCAGCCAGAATACAGCCAGACTTTTGTCCAGCCAGGATACAGCCAGACTTTTGTCCAGCCAGGATACAGCCAGATGTTTGTCCAGCAAGGATACAGCCAGACGTTTGTCCAGCCAGAATACAGCCAGACTTTTGTCCAGCCAGGATACAGCCAGACTTTTGTCCAGCCAGGATACAGCCAGACTTTTGTCCAGCCAGGATACAGCCAGACTTTTGTCCAGCCAGATATACAGCCAGACTTTTGTCCAGCCAGGATACATCCAGACTTTTTTCCAGCCAGGATACAGCCAGACTTTTTTCCAGCCAGAATACAGCCAGACTTTTGTCCAGCCAGGATACAGCCAGACTTTTGTCCAGCCAGGATACAGCCAGACTTTTGTCCAGCCAGGATACAGCCAGACGTTTGTCCAGCCAGGATACAGCCAGACTTTTTTCCAGCCAGGATACAGCCAGACTTTTGTCCAGCCAGGATACAGCCAGATTTTTGTCTAGCCAGATATACAGCCAGACTTTTGTCCAGCCAGGATACAGCCAGACTTTTGTCCAGCCAGATATACAGCCAGACTTTTGTCCAGCCAGGATACAGCCAGACGTTTGTCCAGCCAGGATACAGCCAGATTTTTGTCCAGCCAGGATACAGCCAGACTTTTGTCCAGCCAGGATACAGCCAGACTTTTGTCCAGCCAGGATACAGCCAGACTTTTGTCCAGCCAGAATACACATGCATCTTATGAGAGGTCATGTTCAGTATGAACTCCCAAACCTGCTGCATCACTGCCCCTGTGTCCATTGCTGTATTTACTTACTTGTCGCCCCATGCACCTTTCCATTCCTTTTGACCCCACGGATTTCTCAGTCTCAACAAATTGACATTTATTCTTTCAGTGTTGACCTGTCAAATAATATTGGGAGAAAATTGGCACATAGAAAGGCCTTTCTTAAAATCTTAAAATGTGCTTTTCAAAATGTCTGACACATTTTTTAGTATTGTTCGGGAAGATAAAGCTATAAGAAACTGAACTGGCAATAAAACTCTCAGGTCACAGACTACAGTATATAAAGGCCTAAACCTTGGCAAGAGCTGCAAGGGTGTAGTGGCTTGATGCGCCGCTTGGTGGCCTGAAGGTCATGGGTTTGATTCAGCAATGAGCCAGATGTTTTTCAAAAATATCCTTGGCTCTCAGGACTACCCAGCTTAAAATGGCTAGATCCTGGGAAGTAAAACATGATGCTGACTACATCATCCAATAAGGCACAATAGGACTATTGCAAATATGTCTAGTATCATACGCCTGGCAAGCTCCTGGTGTAAAATGGTTCTTAACATTTTTCATTATTTTAAAACTCAACTCTTTGAGTCCCAAGGAATACGTCATACGTTCATAGATTCCTACCCAGAAGCCCAATGAACGCAAGATGTGCCGATTTTACGTCCATCTTGACTATCGCTTGGGCCTGTGATGCTAAACTCCCTGGGACTCAAAGAGTTAAACTGAGCATCCCAACAGTAGTATCTGTGATGAGATTATCTTTCATCTGGCAGCCATGGAGCTGGCAGAATTCTGCTGTAGGTTATCCTCTCTATTGACGTCGATTTCATATTCACAGTCTTCAAGGCCAAGACAGGAGACATTATAACCAGCTCCTCATGGGAACAATCAGTAGAGGTACCTTGGAGTGGCTGCTGCCGGGAGGACTGAGTGTGCATGGCAATACCCAGGTTGCGATAACATCGAATGTGATCACATTCACAGTCTTGCCCAAGCAAATAATGAATGTTTCAATGTTTCATGATGCCTGTAGCCCAGTCCTTATTTTCACACTGCTTGTCCTTGGTCTGCTGTGCCTATCTTGTATCTCTCACTAGTCTTCTTGCAAAGCAGCAGATGTTTATTTAACCCTGTTGAACTGGGAACACTTGGGAAAAAAAAGGTCATGACCCAGTTAGAATTTTAGAAAATACTACTTAAGAAAACTAAAATTTTACGCAGGACACTAATAAATTTGTTAACAATGTGTTTCCCTACACATTAAATAAGGGTGTGGGGGGAGGCATACACAAAGATATGTAAAAGAAGTAATCAATAAACACGAGCAGATTGAAGCATTAAATAAATATATCCATAGGGGTGTTAAAAAAAAAAAACATTCGCTGGATGACTCATGCTGTAACCCCAATGACCTTTATCACTGCAGATTATAGGGATGAGAAATTATGCAAAATATTCATCTAAAAAGGTTATATGGCTCAAGGTAAACACCCCCCCCACCCCCCCCCCCCCCCCCCCACCCCCACCCACTTTTTTTTTTAAAGCCTTGATGTGTACCAATCAAGATTTTGTGTGTAATGGGCTGTTCTTTTATAGACATCAATGTGCTATGTATAAGTTCACTTCTTATGTTTAGGTAAAGAATACTAAAGAAACCTGGCAAGGATGGTTGGCTCATAAACAATATCACTTCTCGAAAAGTGAAACACTCCTCCCATATCCACATTAAATGTTATAATGGGATGAAGAGAAATAGAAAAGGAAGATATGGTTCTTGGAAGAAGGACAGGAGTTGACCAGAGTGGTGGTGGACAAACGATATCAAGGACACCCTGTATATGAAAACCCATGGGATGGGAAAGTTGTTTGGGGGAGTGAGTGGTTTTCCAGCATACTGTGGTACAAAGGAAGTGCTAATAAGACAACTATCTCTTGTTGACCTTTGTTGTATGTATGTAAATTGTACCCCACCAGGACATCAAACAAGTGATAAACACCCGATGACACAAAGTGCACCACGCGGTTGAGGATCACCCGTGAAGAAATCTCGGAAACCCCGTTCAGCCATTAGGCTATATTTCAGGCCCGGCTATATTTAGAACCCCTGGCAAAAGCCAGGGATGGGCTTATAATAACTAAAAATTGCATCTGACTAGGAGATGACAAGATGAGCACCTTTGTTGTAAATGTACAGTTCAACACAAAGAAGGAGATTTGTTGACTTGCGATAGACACAATTCAAATACAAAGCAAAGAATATTCTTAATGAACTATTATTAAATAGATCTGAATTAATTCACTTAATTAGCTTTCCTAATTTTAGAGTTCTTCATGTTTAGATCTTGTATGGGGACCTGACCACAAATGTATATCTAGCATTTAACACTCAAAAGTTTTCAACTTTTCATAAGAAGAACTGAAATTTACACAATAATATCCATTTCACATTCACATTCCTTTGCATCCACAACCTTTCTTTTATTTCTTCATCATCATCATCAACTTCTAGCGTTTTGCCCTTTTGGTTGTATAGAGAAAGAATTTGTTTAATGGGTGCTATTATTATTCCATATGGACATACGGTGTATTTAGTGTCATCAGTCCATCTTCACTTTGGGTCCCCTCTTACTCTTATGTCAGATCTGTTTAGATGTGTGCCTCTGTTGACAGTTGTTATGGCTGCATTCTAAAGAAAGGGGCAAATTATTTTTTTTGCTTCTTAGTTAATTTTGTATAAGGTGTTGTTTTCACAATGTACATGACAGTATCATTCTCACAGGGTCTCAGGTGGTCAAGGGTGCAGCTCTCCTCAGGCAAGTTATCTCACATGTGTTAATTTCACATAGGTAAGTCTGACAATGTCAAAGTCTGGCACAGGTAGCAAAGTGTTGGTATGAAAATGCTGTTTAAAAATTATTTTTTTGGGGGGGGGGAGTCACAATTAGATGTCCTAATAATGGTGTCAGATGGTTTATAAAAACTGCCACTTTAGCATCTTACTACTATTTCCGAGTCCACCTTTTTCTCATGACCTACCGTAAATTGCCAAGTTTATGTAAACCTGGCGTACATGTTGACCTCAATTGCTTTAGCTCAGAATTGTGTCTCAGGTCTATACCTACTTAACATAAGGCTTCTTTGACTTCTACACCACAATTCTGGCTATGTCATGTTTCCTTTCCTCCTCCTTCTCAGATGCTTCCAATGAATTTTATAACGAGATAATTTATGAGTAATACCTGATAAAATCCGGTAATGCTGTAGGTATGCTTTTCGTACAAATTATTTGCTAGTTTCGAGGCTCCTGTGGACAATTTATTTGTTGCCTGAAATATAATAATCAAAACAGAATAACTATACTATCCAAAAAAATAAATACAAAGATATCTGATAGAGCATTTTTTTAGTTATGGGAACACATGTATGCCTAAAAACTCTCAATGACCCAGATAAAAAAGAACTGTCAACTGATTGGATCGTCCCTAAGGTATTTGTGTGTGAAATTTGAACAGTCTCACTTATTAAATTATGAAGATTATGAACATCAAAATTATGACATAATTATGTGCCTTCAGTAGCTATATGTAGCATTTTTTTTTATAATGAATGCACAACAATACTGTCAGGTCAAAAGTGGATTGTTGGTTTCCTTTCCTACAGTCCATGCTACGTGGTATTGGTCAGCTTGTCTGTCTAAAACCTTCTGTTTCTTTCATGTACTCTCTCTCTCTATATCCCCCTAGCTCTAACCCCATCTTGTCCTTCCCCTTCATCTCTTCCTTTCCCATTTTAAATCTGTCACAATATACAAATTGCTCCCCTTCTAAAACTTGCCTGTTCTTCCTGATGTTTATAACCTGTTTTCTTTGTCAGATAACTCCCATGACACAAATCTGCTACCTATCCATGCTGTTCTCCTTTTTCTTCAATAAATCTGCTACCTGTCCATGCTGTTCTCATTTTTCTTCAATAAATCTGCTACCTGTCCATGCTATTCTCATTTTTCTTCAATAAATCTGCTACCTGTCCATGCTATTCTCATTTTTCTTCAATAAATCTGCTTTCTGTCCATGCTGTTCTCATTTTTCTTCAATAAATCTGCTTTCTGTCCATGCTGTTCTCATTTTTCTTCAATAAATCTGCTACCTGTCCATGGTGTTTTCATCTTTCTTCAATAAAACTACACATCCACAGCTTTCACACAATTTCTCATTAATCTCTTGACTGTCTACGACTCACTGCCATAATGTTTCAGCCAATCAGATTTTAAATGCATCCTTATATTAGTATGCACATTTGGATTTAACTACTGAACTCTTGTTTATATAACCAGTATGTTTAACTTAAAGGTTAGAAATCAGATTTCTATAAGTTATTCAGTTGAGAGGAGTCACTGGCCGAACAATTAAGAACACAGAGCTCCCAAGTGGGAGACCCAGGTTCAAATCCTCAGCAAGCTCTGGGATTTTTTTTACTTCTGTCGGAGGCAATCCTAGCCTGCATAATGCATGGTAACAGCACTATCTACGCGGCTTGAAATCCTCATGATTAAATACGCTGCTGCTACACTGCCAGTGGCAAACAAAGGCAGTAATGACAGTTTTATCTAGCTAAACCAACTAGCCAGAGAACTTAAACTTTGTAGATAGTAAGGAAACCAACTCTTATAACTAAGGTCGTGCCCATGTGGGATGCAATTTTGCGTTATTTTGAAACCCCACCAAGGCTTTGTCAGGAGGCCGTAATATAGCCTGAAGGCTGAATGGGGTTTCTGGGACCTGTCCACGGGTGATCCTCATTCGCATGGTGGCACTTTGTATCACCAGCTGTTCATCGCTCTGTGTGATGTCCTGGTGGGGTACAATTTACTTACTAACCAACTCTGGTCAAAGTAGACAACACTACAGGCAGTACACAGTTTGCCAAGAGCTAAAACTGTTATATAAATGGATTTATTGAAATGTGATCACACATACCAGTCATCAAGACGGATGATGATTATTTTTTACACAAGATGTCACTTACGTCAATAGAAGCACCTATCAGGCTATTCATCTTGCAGGATTTGACCAATATTGAGTACAGCTCTGGTGAGATTCGTGTTCTGTCGTCAATATAAATG